GTTGGAAGGAAGCTTAGAGAACATCTTCTTCCAACCTCCCATGCCATTGGCCAGGAAAATTTTTCATAGTGATTTTCTCACATTACCCCTCTCACATTCAGCCTTAAAGGAAATTCATCTGCATTGGACTTATTTGCCGGGGATGCACAAATGCACAGACACAACTGAATTTCTTTTGTACACTCTAAACAGGAGTAAACTGAAGCAGGAAGGCACAAAGCACACATACTGAACAACTATGAGTGGTTTTAGGACATGGACTCATAGAACACTTTAGGTCGGAAAAGACCCATCAAGCCCAACCTTCCTGATCAAGATCTTCAAGCCTGATCTTCCAAGTGTATCACTAAACCACATCGCTTGGTGACACTGGTAAGAACTTTTTTCTTCAAATCTGGAAGAACATGACCAAAGCCCCCAAAACATAGCCTTAGTAAGCCAGTTTTGCTTGCTTGGCTTGCCGGGATGTTAATCCTTCTCTGTGAGTAAGCAAAATGGTGGACACTAATGTAAAACTGCACAGGCCATAAGATGGGGAGAGGTGGGCTCTTCCTCTTCCCCACTGCTCAAGTCCTGCTGTATTCAGACACCTGAATACAGAGACTTCTGTGCAGTCAGAGATGCAAGTGAGCAGTATTTCTCTCCTCTATAATCTCTTTTCAGGGTTTGGGTTTTTCCCCTCTCCCTGAGTGGAAACGGAGTGGGCAGGAGGGCTGAAAGCTGATTTCTGCCATTCTGAACAGGGGCAGACTTCAGGGAGCGGGAGGAAAATGGCGCTGTGTGATTTCTTTGCAGCACTGTCTCCCCCGTTGCCTGGTGATGAAGGCACCCTCCAGGGCACTCAATATCAGCCCCTTCTGAAGGACATTGACTCAAACATTGGAATAGGAATGAAAATAAAGACAACCTTGCCTCAATCTCAAAATAGAAAACATAAAATTATATTAATTGGTTAATGTCATCAAAAACTAATTACCATAGCTGTAATTTTCCAAGCCAGCCCTTTTTTCCCCCTACTGATAAATAATAATTATCTATTGGCTACAATAATGTGATATGCACAAAAGCAAAACCATTAAGATTTAATTGTAATGCCTACAAGTTAACACATTTAGAGGACACCATTAGAAAGTACAGCATTAGGTTCAAACTGTATTTCCTTGGCTGTTCGGGGTGAAGCAATCCTGTAGTACTGATATATGGCTGGACATACGAGGACATGAAAGAGACAAGGTTTGTGGGCACAGTTCATGTCACCAAGGGCAGCTGGGTAAGCAAACAGCTTCACCGGCACAGAAGCCAAGGATGCCCAAAGACTTTCCATGTGTAATTTGTCCCACGGAGCGGGCAGTAAACAGAGCTGGGCAGGAAGGACTGGGGTTGAGAACCTTACCCTGTGCCATAAACCACCAGAGATCAGCTTTTCTCTCAGTGTCAGCTCGGCGGTCCAAAGGCATGACCAATATCTGCCCAAAGCAGGGCATGTGCTCCGATCACTGTGCCTTACCTTGGAAAACATCACAGAGAGCACGCTGAGGGTGCCTGCAGTTTTCCCACAGATTAAAACCAGCCATTGCTTAAGATAAACTGAAAGTTTAGCTTTTTGCCATAATGCAAATGGCCCTTTCAAATATAAATAGCACTTGCAATTAACTCAAACTTCAGCAGCCGGTGGTGACGGAAAAGAAACGCTTGGCAAGAGCAAATGCTGAGTCATAGAAAACTGACAAAATTATATGGGCAGTTATCACCAAAATGCATTATTTATCACTGAAGCCCATTGACGCCTGTGCTTACACAGGAACCCTCCTGTGATATTGAAGGCCAAAGTATCTTCTCTCCGTAACAACAGTGTTGTATCTTTGGCAACTCTAGCAGGAACTCAGAAAATCAATAGCACTTCATGAGCAAGGTCTCGGTCTTCTTCTTTTACGAGGATTCTGTCAATGCAAGTGGCCATTACTGTACTTTAAAGGCATGATATAAAATTGCTTCAACAAGATATAAGACACACGGTTTGAAAGAACCTGGTGAGAGTATTTTAGTCAAAGTTAAATAGTTTCATCACGTAATTACTTCTATTGGCACATCTCCAGCTGGATACACTCATGCAGGGTATGCGCTTTCTGTGACGGGTGGGGAAATTGTAAGGGAGGTCTGTCGATGTGATTCAGGTTGATCTAAACAAGGTCAAACTGCTAAAACGGAGCCACAACCAAGCATCCAATACTATTGACAGAAACACAGTAACAACAAAGTTGCTGCCATTTTTTTCTTTTCCTTATTATTTTCCTTTTTTAGCTAAGTGATCTGAAAGTACTTTTAGTTTTATAGCTGAAAAATATGCCATCCTGATTTGCAGACTGGTAATTCATTTTCTAAGGACTGTTTAGAATTTATTCAGGAGGAAAAGGAAGCTGCGTTGGTGGCTATAACTGATTCACATTATATGACAAAATTTAACTTTTCTATTTTATGGGATTTTATGAATTCCACTAAAGCCATTAGCTGGTTGTCTCTTTGTGATTAAATTTAACCACTTATACAATACTTTAAAGTGATGACAGTCACATCTGTATTTATGTTTTCTTTTGTTTAAAGTGGATGTGCCTCAGAAAACCAAGACGTTTCTGAGAAAAGCCATTTTCTTCAATTCTCTGTGAACGAAGGAGCTCCTCAAAAATCCCCCCAAAACAGAAGGGTTAAAATGTTTTCTGAATGGAAGGAGACACCCACAGCAGAGGGCATCTGTCCCATCAGGCGGTGTAGCTGAGCCAAAGCTTATTTGGCCCTTTTAAACACAAGCAGCACTCAAAGGCATCTCAATAGCCATCACAGCTTCAATTAAATGGCTTTGCCTCCTACCCCAAGAACATGTAACAGCCCTCTTCAGCACTAGGCTATAAGAAAGGCTGCATTAAAGGCACAAAGCACATTATCCCATGCTCCTGTGACTGGAAACACTGGCTATAAGCATGCCACACAGCCTCAATGGGTCAGATGCTAGGTAAGTGCAAGAAAATCCCATGCTGATGGATGTGGAGGTGAGTCACCTTGCTCCATGCAGCCTGGGAGACAGGGACAGTGACATGACCAACATCTGCCTGCACAACAAATCCACTGCCTGTATGCAGGTGTGCAGGTGATGCAGATATACAATGCAGAGATGAGTTTCCTATGTTAAGTTGCATTGATCAAGCTACTTTGACAACTGTGCTTGTCTGCTAATCACGTTCAGCAGGCTGTTGTTCCAGCTTCACACAAATGAACTGCTTCAAAAAGTTTCTTGCTTATTTCATTCTGCAATTACCCGGTGTGAGGTTTAAGACAAGAAATGTTTAACCCTGGAACAATGACAGAAATAAAAATGAAAACTGTATTACCCAGCCCAGTCAGACATGGGGTTTCTGACCTCCACAAAAACCCTCGTCCTCTGTTTTGAGTGAGACACCCCCATATATGTGTCTGTAAATTATGCCAAGGCCTCCTAGAAATTTTTCTAATCCATTCATTGTAAGTTCCGTACCTTTGTCTGAGGCCAACCAGCCAGTTCCCTTGGACTGAGGAGTTAAAGGAATACGACAAACAGAAGTAATATCACATTTCAAAACAGCTTTTCTGTATCTGAGATGCTCCCCCTAAAATGCTCACTGCTTAGGTATAGCAGACGTAAGAAATCACTACACTGTCACTCAGAGGCCTCCTGTGGAGCACCACAGAGCCTGCATCACAGCTGACCAACAGAAATACCCACACTGAAACTTTCACAACGGAATCCATGCTGAGCACGTGTTCTTAAATGCATTCGGATTGTCATCTTTCCTTAGATTCCCAAAATACTAAATTACTTACTGAAATATTTTTCATTTGATGATCCCTGTTAATGAATGTCTAGAAGGGCTCTGGATTTCATCTCTGAGAATTTCATCTCTGTGACTTTTTTTTTTTTTTTTTTTTTTTTCATTCAGAGGGTGGTGAGGCACTGGAACAGGTTGCCCAAGGAGGCTGTGGATGTCCCATCCCTGGAGGCATTCAAGGCCAGGCTGGATGTGGCTCTGGGCAGCCTGGTCTGGTAGTTGGTGACCCTGCACATGGCAGGGGGGTGGAAACTGGATGAGCACTGGGTCCTTTTCAACCCAGGCCATTCTATGATTCTGTGATATGATTCTACAACTTCAGTGGGACTATCCTTTTTATCAAGAGGCATTCTGGTTGCTAATATGGATCAGGATGGTCAGCATGTGAGATCTGTCCTGTTGCACACACAGTGAGAGAGAAAAGTGCAAAGAACACACTCACTTAACAAAGAACCATGAGGGCAAATTGAAGGGTTGGCCTCCACTGCTCAGCTATGCACCAGGATCACCTGAACAGTGTCCTACACAGCAGATGTGGCTCTTAAAAAAATAATAATAATAATTTTTTAAAAAGACAGCTACAAAACAGGTATCTATTTCACTTCTCATTCATTTCATGGGTTATTAACCTGTGTACTTTGTCCCTCACTCTTCACTTAACACCCTCTTAAACTTTTGAATCCTTGGGTGCGAATTCAAGACCATGCCTGAACATCTAAGTGCTATTTTCCAGGCACTACAAGAGCATAACACGTTAAATAACAAGCCATTAATGTCAAAAAAACAAGCTTTACTATACATTTTTGGCATTAATTTTATAAGCGCCATAAAACAGGCTTTTTTACTGGGTAGTTTTGGTATATAATTTCTTCCACAAGAAGAACAGTTTCTCTATAGTTAACACATGTGGCAGGGTAAGGAAGCTAAAAACAACATCCCTGTAAAATTCATACTAAATGATGGAAATAATAACTGGAATACATGTAATTTGAGTAGCATGCCCGAAACAACAGGCAGAGACTGCAAAAACAAACTGCAAAGGAATAGGTCAAACTTTGAGACCCGAGCGGAGAAACAGGAAGTGCAGGGGTTTTTTTGTCATTTTTTGGTCACGGATACACACGCTGTGACGGTCAGAAGTACCTGAAAGAATTCAGAGGGCACTGGAGGAGAGGATGTGGGGAACACTGAGCTCGGAGCACCTCCTGGAGAGGCGTGGAGCTAAGCTGGAGGCGGGGGCTGCCTGCAGGGGAGGCGACGGCCATCTGCGCATCTTGCACCGGGCCGCCGTCCTGCAATTTGCAAGGTAGCACAGCACAGTGTTATTAAGCACAGGTGTCTCCATAATTGTGGTACTGAGAGAAATCGGTGCTCAGTGGCCCACAGCTTCACCCTTCCGCCGGTGTGATGTGATGGGTAGTCTGTAATACAGAGAAGAGAAGCAGAAATTGGTACAATCCTCTGTGCACAAAGCATTTTTAGCTCCACGCTGACTCTCCTGTGTGACAAGTATTTATTCAAGTAGTGCAGTTTCTGCTCAAAACCAAGTTTCCTCAGTCAGAAAAACATAATAAATTTAACACCTCTCTGATTTCATACTCATGTAGTGGGAGCCATTTTAAAATGTTTCTGTTTCTTTCAGAAGTAAGTCTGTGCTCCACATAAAAAGGTGTATGTCAAACCAATATAATCTCTCAGGCTTTTTCACTCTGACTACTGTAGTTTTAGAAACAATGAAATTCCTTTCTGAGGACAAATGACATGAATAAGTCAAACAATAATTTTAAGACGCAGTGTGAACATCAGCAGTAGGAGGTAAGCCCAGTGTGTTCCAATTGCAGCTTGGCACAAAAATATATGGAAAAAAAAAAAAAAGATTCTAGCCTGTGAACTTCGTTTTCAATGGAAGTAATACTTGTGCCATAAATCTACAGGCAGGGATCTCACAAAAAGTGGGAAATTTGTTTACACTGCCCCTGCAGGATTTTCTTGTTCCTTTACACTACTTACGCAGCTACCTGAAAAAGTCAAAATAAAATGTCGAAAGCAATTAAAAAGAAGTAAATATGCTCTTTAGGAGATCAGCTTATGCACATACATGTTAATGACTCCTGATTGATTGCCTGATGCCACAAAAATTAAGTATGAAATAGTAAACTTTCAAGTCCAATGTGCACCCGTTCATTCCTGTCCACCACTGGTACGCAGACTGTAAGTAAAGCCCGCAGCACCCAGGCTGCATTGGGCACAGCACTGCCAGCAGGGTGGTGGGATTGGCCACCCTAGGGAGGCTGGATGTTGGACCAGGCTGCCCAGAGAGTCTGTGTTGGAAAATCTTTTGGGATTTTCCAAACCCATGCGGATGTAGTCATGGGCAAGTTGCTGTAGGTACAAGAGGCTGTCAGACAATCTCTGTCCCACACCAACCTGATGATTCTGTCAAAATTCTGACCGTACCAGAGACACAGAATCACAAAATGGGTTGGATTGGAATGGACCTCAAAGGCAACCCAGCCCCAACTCCTGCTGTGAACTGGTTGCCCTCCCACTCAGATCAGGATGCCAGAACCCCATCCAGCCTCGCCTTGAGAACCTTCAGGGATGGAACACCCACAGCTTCTCTGGGCAACATGCAATTAACTAAATTCTCCCTCTTATTCAAGCTTAATTATACTAACAGGAGGACACTTCAGGCAACCAAAAACCTGCCTTCTCTCAACACTTTCCTAAGCCCCAGGTATGCATTGAGGGGAAGAAGAGCACGTGTTTCTGCAGCCCCACAACAGCCCAGAATGCTGCTGAAACTTTGCAGTATTCTCCAAGGTTTCACGAGTCACTTCAATTTCCAAAGTATTACAGGATCAGGAGTTTCCAAATATAGCTTACATTCATTTGTAATTTCATTTGTAACCTTCTTTTAGTTGGCAAAAAAAAAAAAAAAAAAAAAGCATTGTGCCGTATTTCTTGGAAATAATGCATAGTTTATCACCCATCATGCTGTTTGCTCAGGTGTAGAGGTGTGCGAATATCAGCGTTTTATAGAGAGGTTACCCAGAAAGCGTGTGTCATTTAGACCCGTTCAGACTTGGCCTCCATCTTTTGCCTTACGGCAAATGGTTTTTACTGATCATCATTAGAGTAACCATGCTTTGCATATGGAAACCCGCTGTGTGTATTGGCAGAACAAGAGGAAATGGTTTTAAGTTGAAAGAGGGAAGATTTAGGTTGGATATCAAGGGGAAGTTATTTACCAAAAGAATAGTGAGGTGCTGGCACAGGCTGTCCAGAGAGGTTGTGGATGCTCTGTCCCTGGAGGTGTTGAAGGCCAGGTATGATGGGGCCCTGGGCAGCTTGGTCTAGTATTAGATATAGAATTCAGCAGCCCTGCCTACTGCAGGGGGGTTGGAGTTTGATGATCTTTGAGGTCCCTTCCAACTCGAGCCATCTGTGATTCTATGATGATTCTATGTGTACGTATTACTGTGGCCTTGGAAACTAGCAGAGAGCATTTCATTTCTGAGACAATCACATGCTAGTCCTCTCCACCTGTCCAGAAGCAACCTGTACCTTGAAAAGCCCTCTTGGGAACTCCCCCTGAGCTATGGGGGGATGGAGCAACAACCTGCAGTGGCTATCCCTGCAGAAAGAGAGCCTGGAGGAGCCCAGAGGCTGCACTGAGAATTTGGGATTATTACAACTGGGTCTTCCTGAGAGGGAAACTGGCACCCAACCATTAAAAAGCCCTCCTTCTTAGAAATGCAGAAATAGCTAAAAATTCAATACCTAATGACAGTTCTAAGCTTTTTGTATCGCTTCTGATTCTAAACTGTGGTTGTTAAGACTATATACAAATATTACTGCCCTTAGACCTATGTCAAGTATATGGTTAGAAATACAATCAAATTGCCGTCTTCATAAAGTGTGCCTTCAGCTAGAAAAACACTCAAAGGAGACACTATAAATATCAGCAGGGAGCATCCTCTGGGTTTAAAGACGAGAGGAGACACACGCATACACATGCATAGAAACACCTTTAATGCCTAAAAAACAAAAAGGAATGCTGAAAAACCTCAGTTGCTTTTAAACTTACAGAAAACGTGAAGGAAAACCAAAAAGTGAATCCATTCAGTTGAAAACATGCAGTATTTTACAGTGCAGGCAAACACACATTTTACTGTGCATTAAAACAACAGAGTCTTCCAGCAGAATTTTATTGCTTTTTTTTCTAAAATAAAGGTAACGTACTCACTCTGTATGTTCTCATCCTCTCAAATATCTGAATAATTCTCCTCTAGCAGAACTCGGACCCTGCTATGCAGATCAATTAAGAAGCAACACTATCATTATAAAACCCCACACCGAAGAGCAACATGGGGTTCTGCAGCAAGTATGTAATTGTGCTAGTCTCAAAAATGCATAAAAAGTAACCATAGGGAAGCTGATCATGGATTTCTTGTTAAAGAAGACAACAAAATTATCCCAAGTTCTCTTAACATTAAGAACTAAACATTTGGTTTAAAATACCAAATGAGAGTTAATAAGATATTTTTTCAAAACCGATAATTCAGAATTTTTCAATAAGTTTCCCATTAACATTCCCCCATCCCCCTAAATACCATTATTTTTTCCCAGCTGTATAAATAGTCTTACTGAGTACGGCCTGAATGAATGCACCGTTCAGAAAACAACATAATTACAGCCATTTCCAGCAAACTGGGTGCCAAAAAAGTTACAAATTAATTGAAGGTTAGCACTGAAAATTAAATCCTAGTCAGCTTGAAGTCATTTTTTAGGCTAGTTTATATGAAATTAAATAGGAAGTTCAGTCTTCCAATATTCCATCAGCTTAGTGGAGAGATTTCTAAAGTTCAGGTGAAGAAGTGGTTTGTACTGCTCCGTCATGTGTAAAACTACATAGCTCCCCATGGGCATTTCTTTTCTCTGCCCACTTCCCAAGTGCTCCAAATGTGAAGACTAAGAGAACTTCCTGGTTCTTCCCCAGTCCTCCTGGACATGGATTCTCCCCAGAAGAGCCAAAAAGCTCTTTGGGTTGACCTCAGCCACTGTGAAGTCAGTCTGCACCACAAAAAACAAGGAAGCAGAAAGCATAACTTCAGGATAAACACAGTTCTAGGTATTTCAGCCACAACAAACTAAGAAGAAAAAATACAACATGCTACCATCAAGAAGCTCAATTAAAATGACCACATTTAAGTTAGAGGGGCCAAGAATAACAACAGTCATCAGCAGCATTCTTGCATTCATCCAACTTGGAGGCAGTCACAGAGCTGTTAGCCTACTTTCTTTTTTCATTATCTCTTTTTTGGAAGCACAATATCTTGAGATGAAGGATCAGGTGGATATTTGTGTTGTCAGCATACATCAATGAGGGGCAGATATTTTAAATTTCAAATTAATTCAGAGTTGCCCAGAAACACGTTCTTTACACGAAATCCCAAAAGTTATTCTTGTCTTTGTTTGAAAGCACTGTCCAACGTGTCTTGGTTTGGCAACCAATCCACGTTAAGCAGAACATCGAAGCAATTGAACATCTCAGATATTGAACTTGCATTTCAGTGTTTTGCCTGAAAAGGATACAAGCACACCCATGTTGAGAGGGGGCTTTCCAACACAGAAAAATAAAGCTTTTAGTCCAAGGAGGACAATCCTCTGCTTAGCTCCCTTCTTGACTCTCGGATCAAAGAACATCCCTGAGGAGACATCATCTAGGTGCGAGATTTTCCACTCCCAGTGGGAGTTTGCTAAGCCTTTGTCACCCAAAATGAATGAAATCTTTCATCTCCCAGCTCTCAGGGTACTGCTGTGACCACCAGGGTGAGAGGGGACCACCGCTGCCTCTCCTTGTACTTGGCAGCAGGGCAATAAAAAAGTCTCCTGAAAGACAAGTTAGGAGAAGAAAGCAAAAAGAGTGGTTAAGGAGCTCCCAGGAGAAGGAAGAGATCAGGGTTTGGGTCTACATTCTACTCTTCTCTATCAAATGTAGGAAGCATAGCAGCAGAGTATCCCTCACCCTGCCCCCTGCTCAGTGCCCAAACAACCCCTCACCCAAAGCTCTGCACAGAGCACAGCACCCAGCTGGCACCATCACAACAAGCAACGTCATGCCACCGTGACGAAGATCTCATCACCAAAGCTGACAATAAGGGGAAAAAATAAATTTCGTACTGGTCCCT